TGTGCTTTTATGCTTCTCGCCATCTTCAAAACCAATATGCAGATTAACCTTTCCTAATATGGAATAGGATGCATCTGAAGTTACAATGCTATTGCTTTCACTGTGATATGTAATTCCTAATTCACTAATATATTTTTGGCTAATGCAATTTACATCAGTAGACGTATCAATTGATGCCTCAATAGGGATATTTTCTTCGATTACACAATTCACAATCATCATTTTTTATTATAGTATATAATATTCAAAATAATAATAAATCTATCCACAAGCATTAGAGAACAATCTGATGTCCTAGAATGATAGTATATATCATCACTCAATCTGATTGGCTAATTCATCACTTCAAATTACAAACCGCTTAACCTTTCTTCGTCGTATCTTTCTTCGTTGCTTATGAGGAATAATCTCTTCTACCTGATACCTTTGGGGTCTCTTTATTATCTCAACTGAATCAGAATCTTCAGAAGACTCAGATGAATAGGGGAAACCCTTACATTTTTTGATCTTTGGCGAGAAAGCTATTTCTTGTATTAAGTCGACCACAGTCTCCCTATCCACACATTCGTCTAGATCTTTTAATTCATCTTTTAAGGATCTCACATCTTTCTCCAATCTTTTTACCCTCCTTTCTAAAGTATTAGGTTGGGAATGATAATCTTCCAATTGTTTCTTTAGTGCCATATTTTCACCGAAAAGCGTACTATACACTTTTGCATTTTGCTTGTCTAGCCCAAATATCTGAGCTAATTTTTCTGTGTATCTGATAACTTCCTGTTCACTAGGTGTACTATCATATGAATGTTTTTGTTCGGTTACCATTTTTGTGATATATTATATACGCTATATCTTATCTTAAGCGAAAAAAATAAATTAATAAATGATATCCCGATCCTCTAATCCATATACAGCATATGATTAGTTATCATCGGAGATCTGGAATGACCTTGTCCGGTTATATGGTTCTCCTCTTTTTGATAAGGATATCAATCTCATAATCTTAATTCGAATTTGAAAATATAGTAATAATACACAGTAAACATTAAAATGGAGGTTTGGTTACCTATAGCGGACTCAGATTATTATACATCTAATCTTGGACGTATTAAAAATAAAAAAGGTACAATTTTAAAAGGTCATATTCATAGAGGAGGTTATATACGAACAGATTTTAATATTAATGAAAATCGTACACAATCTTATCTTCACAGACTAGTCGCAGAAACATTTATTCCTAATCCAGAAAATAAGCCTTTTGTTAATCATATTAATGGCATTAAAACTGACAATCGGATAGATAATCTGGAATGGGTCACTCCAAAAGAAAACACCCAACATGCTGTATGTATTGGACTTCAAAAACAATATTCTGTTAAACAGATTTTTAATGATGGATCTTTTCGAGAATTTCCATCTATAGCTGAAGCACAGCGTGTAACTAAAACTTATCATATTTCAGATGTATGTCGTGGACTTCAAACATATGCTGGGGGGTATCGCTGGGAATATATTGATTTAGCAATACACAATAAGAGTTGAAATATTTAATTACTATGAATATCTATCAATAAACCAGTGAAATTTATATATAAAAAATGAAAATAACATACGAGTCCTCTACTAGTATTTTTTAGCTCTCATCAAAGAGCATGAATGGCTTTACTTGCTTGTAAGGCATTCCACGAGCTCGCATATTGACTATAGTATATCTCTTAGATGGAGAAGAATGGTTATCAGGACTATGCCGAAGGGCTTCACTGGCATAAGTGTTAGCTTTTGATGGATTTTTTGGACTATGCACTTCACTCGCAAATACTGATCCTAATTTACGCAAAGAGCTAGGAAGTAGTGGTTCACGACTTTCTGTTTCGGGAATAAATTCATCCTTTTTCAGAAATTTATTTAAGAATTTAACTCCAGGACTTCCTGGATCCCCTAACTTTCTAGA